AAATCCTTCTGCCTTTCCCAGATCATAGGACAGGGAGGCTCTTACAGGCAGACCACAATTAAATAATGAGACTCTAGAGAAGAGATTCTACTTGTTTTAGAAGAATTTCAGTGAAGAACATACCCGGGCTACTTGGCTTCCTTCTCACTATTTAAAATAGTAAAATCATGTGACTATTTTTATATTTTTTTCAGTTAATCACTGAGATTTTTCTTAAGTGCTCGAGAGTGGGATGTATTAATTTCTTGATGACTTCCAATATCCAAATCAATGCCCAGTACCCTACAGTAGTGAGGTTCATGAGGAAATGTTCCCCTTCTTTCAAAAAATAACCCTAAAGCATTTATGTTTACAAAGAATATTCATGTGCATTTTGTTTTTTTGAGCTTCACAATAACACTATAGTTAAAGACTACTAATTGCTATTTTATATCTCCATTTTAATTTCTCTTAAAGCAGAAATTAAGATTCAGAGGAACTAAGTCACTTGCTCAAGGTCATGTGTTTACTGAATGGAATAATCACCACTTGAGATTTGCCATTTCTTCCCTATGGACAACACTTTTGCACACTCTTTTATTGCCTCTTTGATATGCTTATAAAATTGGATACTATAAACATGCCTTAAGGTACTTTGGCAAAACTTGCTCCTGGGGAATTATCCAAATTGATGATGTAGTGGGAGCATTATTAATTTGAGTCGATGATCTGAACTGGAATGTATAAATACCCAGTTTTAAGTGGCCTTGGTCAGATGTTCAATGTAAATGGCTAGGAATGGTTGACACAGGCAAATTTTAAGTGTTCTCCATGAAATATTACATAGCAAGGGGCTTTGAAAGTTAATTTACATTAGATAAAACCTTACAGGTTAATGGAGTCATTTATATTTCTGTTCAGGTCTAAAACTGTGGCTGCTAGTAACATTATATTGAAATGTAGATGTGAATTCTCATGTTCATTAAATTGTTTACCTCAGGAATACAAGGGAACCAAATAAGGGATCAGGGAAAAAAATAAAGTTATAATAAAAAACAACATTAGCAGGCAACTATAAATCAAAGACATTCTACAAGGGAGGAGGAGGCAGAGGTAGCAAAACAGGGAGAGAAGAGCACAAGGGACTATGGTGATGGTTCACGGGTGAATTGGTAGGAATTTTACAGGGACTAGACTGAGAGGAGAAAGCATACAGTGAAAAATGATGTAAATATATATATAAATATTAAAATACAAAAAATAGTTTACCTCAGTCTAAAAATTTGCTCCAGTGAGATCATTTGTCTATTGTTAGCTCTCAACCTGAATTTCAAGATACTTTGGTTCTTTTAAAAATAGTTTTGAGAAAAGAAAGTGATTTTTAGTTAAGGTGTATTGTAAACCCATTGTGATTAAAGCATGCTAAAGTAAACAACTTTTATTGAACTAATTTTAAGTATAAAACTTAAACTAAAACTGTTGTAAAGTATCAATGAGGAAAAGTATTTCTTTTATTAATTATTTTTTTTTCTTGAATTATTGTGGTCCCCATAGTTCTCCTGCCACTCTATCACCCGTGAACCATCACTATATTCCCTGGTGTTCTTCCCTCCCATTGACCTTTTGTTTGATTTCTCTAAATTCCACATATAAATGAGAACATCCAGTATTTATCTTTTTCCTTCTGACTTATTTTGGTTACCATAATCTCTTCCCCAGCTACACCTATGTTGCTGCAAATGGCATGAGTTTGTCTTTTTTGATTGCTGAGTAATATTCCATTGTATAAATATATCACAACTTTTTGATCCATTTGTTTATTTGGGGGCATTTGGTCTGTTTCCATATCTTGGCTATTGTAAATAGTGCTGCAGTAAACATAGGAGTGCAGGTTTCCATTCTAATGAGTGTTTTTGTGTTCTGAATAGATTCCTAGGATGAAAGATCCATTATGAAAGATCCATTATGAAAGATCCATTATGAAAGATCCATTTTTAATTTTCTGAGGAATATCCACACAGTTTTCCATAGAGACTGGACTAGTTTATATTCCCGCCAGCAGTGTAAGAGGGTTCCTTTTATCTCTAAATCCTCTCCAGCTTTTGTTGTTTCCATTTTTTTTTTTAATGTTGGCCATTTTTACTGGAATGAGGTGGTATCTCATTTTGGTTTTGATTTGCATTTACCTGATAACTAGTGATGTTGGACATTTTTTCATAAGCCTATTTGCAATTCTTTTTTGGAGAAGTGTCTTTTTAGTTCTTTTGCCCATTTTTTTTTTTTGATTGGGTTGTTTTTGTTGAGTTGTGTAAATTCCTTGTAGATCTTTGATACCAGTCCCTTATCTGTTGTATGGTGAGTAAATATTTTTCTCCCATTCAGTATGATATCTCTTTGTTTTGATTACTTTTTCTTTTGCTGTACAGAGCTTTTTAGTTTGATGTAGTCCCAGCTGTTTATCGTCTTTGTTTTCCTTGCTTCTGGAGAAGAATTCCCAAAGATGTTTCTGAGGTTTATGTCATGGAGTATTTTGCCTATGATTTTTTTCTATGTATTTTATGGTGTCAAATCTTACATTTGAGTCTTTTATCCATTCTGAGTTGATTTTTGCATATGGTATGATATAGTAGTCTGGTTTCATTTCATTTTTTTATGTTGCAGTCCAGTTTTCCCAACACCATTTATTGAAGAGGCTTTTCTTGATCCACTGTATAGTCTTTGCTCCTTTGTTGTAAATGAATTGACCATATATGTGTGGTTTTATTCCTGGGCTTTCAATTTTATTCCTTTGGTCTATGTGTCTATTTTTGTTCCAGTATCATGCTGTTTTTGTTATAATGGCTTTGTAGTATTATTTGAAGTCCGGGAGTGTAATGTTTCCATTCTTTCTCCTTCTAGTCAGGAGAGCTTTTGCTATCTGGGGTTTTTTGTGGTTGCACATTTCAGCAATATTTTTTCTATTTCTTTGAAGAATGTCATTGAGACTTTTATTGGAATTGCATTGAATCTGCAAATTGCTTTTGGTGGAATGGCCATTTTTATAATGTTAACTCTTCTGATCCATGAGCAAGGAATATCCATTGTTTTGTGTCTTTTATTTCTTTTAACAGTGTTTTGTAGTTTTCCTTGTATAGGTCTTTCCCAGGTTTTTAACTTTTTAGGGTACAACTGTAATTGTTAAGTTTATTCCCAGGTATTTAATTTTTGGGGGTACAATTGTAAATGGGATGATTTTCTTAATTTCTTCCTCAATGAGGAAAACTTTTAAAAGAAGTCCAGCTTCATTTTTTTCACATATCTATATGAATGTGAGCCAGGTTGTGAAGAAAGTAACAGGTAAAAATTCTTAGAAAATCTGCTTTAATGAATAAATATGAGTTATTTGTAGTTAATACTTCATTATATTTCAAGGAACACACAAACTTTTGAAAATAAGTTTTTTTCCTGTGGACCTAACAATTTCAATTTTGTCAACTTTTTTTTTTTTTCTGAAATAGTGAAAATGTAAATTTTAAATTAACTTTGGTCCAAATAACCATATGCCTGAATACAGTTGGGGAGTTCATAGCATGTTGTTGAATTTCTGTATTTCCAAAAGAAGTTGATTCATTGTTTTCAAATTGTTTTGCAGGATCCTGCAAACCAAAAATGTGGTGGAAGAAAGAAAACTGTGTCTTTCAGCAGCATGCCATCAGAAAAGAAAATCAGCAGTGCCAGCGACTGTATCAGCTTTATGCAAGCTGGCTGTGAACTAAAGAAAGTCCGACCAAATTCTCGCATTTATAACCGTTTTTTTACTCTGGACACAGACCTCCAAGCTCTTCGCTGGGAACCTTCCAAGAAAGACCTTGAGAAAGCTAAGCTTGATATTTCTGCCATAAAAGAGATCAGACTGGGGAAGAACACGGAAACATTTAGAAACAATGGCCTTGCTGACCAGATTTGTGAAGACTGTGCCTTTTCCATACTCCATGGGGAAAACTATGAATCTCTGGACCTAGTTGCCAATTCAGCAGATGTAGCAAACATCTGGGTGTCAGGGTTACGGTACCTGGTCTCACGAAGTAAGCAGCCGCTTGATTTTATGGAGGGTAATCAGAACACACAAGGTTCATGTGGTTGAAACAGTGTTTGAAGCAGCAGACATTGATGGGAATGGGATTATGTTGGAGGACACCTCTGTAGAGTTAATAAAACAACTCAACCCTACTCTGAAGGAATCCAAGATCAGGTTAAAGTTTAAAGAAATCCAGAAGAGCAAAGAAAAACTAACCACCCGGGTGACAGAAGAAGAATTTTGCGAAGCTTTTTGTGAACTTTGCACCAGACCAGAAGTGTACTTCTTACTTGTACAGATATCTAAAAACAAAGAATATTTGGATGCCAATGATCTCATGATCTTTTTAGAAGCTGAGCAAGGAGTTACCCATATCACTGAAGAGATGTGCTTAGACATTATTCGGAGGTATGAACTTTCTGAAGAAGGACGTCAAAAAGGATTTCTTGCAATTGATGGCTTTACCCAGTATTTGTTGTCACCAGAATGTGACATTTTTGATCCTGAGCAAAAAAAGGTTGCCCAAGATATGACCCAGCCATTATCTCACTACTACATCAATGCTTCTCATAACACCTATCTTATAGAAGACCAGTTCAGGGGACCGGCTGATATTAATGGGTATGTCAGAGCTTTGAAAATGGGCTGTCGAAGCATTGAACTTGATGTAAGTGATGGTTCAGACAATGAACCAATTGTTTGTAATCGAAATAATGTGACAACACATCTTTCTTTTCGAAGTGTCTTAGAGGTGATAAACAAATTTGCTTTTGTTGCTTCTGAATACCCACTCATTCTTTGCTTGGGGAATCACTGCTCCCTACCACAGCAGAAGATAATGGTTCAACAGATGAAAAAGGTCTTTGGAAATAAACTCTATACTGAAGCACCTTTGCCATCAGAATCCTACCTCCCATCACCGGAAAAATTAAAAAGAATGATTATTGTGAAAGGAAAGAAATTGCCTTCTGATCCAGATATTTTAGAGGGAGAAGTAACAGACGAAGATGAAGAAGCTGAAATGTCTCGGAGGATGTCAGCAGATTACAATGGTGAGCAGAAGCAAATCTGGCTGTGTAGGGAGCTCTCTGATTTGGTATCAATCTGTAAATCTGTTCAGTACAGGGATTTCGAACTGTCTATGAAAAGCCAAAACTATTGGGAAATTTGCTCATTTAGTGAAACAGAGGCCAGCCGAATTGCAAATGAATACCCAGAAGACTTTGTAAATTATAATAAGAAGTTCTTATCAAGAATCTATCCAAGTGCCATGAGGATCGATTCCAGTAACTTGAATCCACAAGACTTTTGGAATTGTGGTTGTCAGATTGTAGCAATGAATTTCCAGACTCCAGGTCCAATGATAGACCTGCACACAGGCTGGTTTCTTCAAAATGGAGGATGTGGTTATGTTCTAAGGCCATCTATCATGCGGGATGAAGTTTCTTACTTCAGTGCAAACACAAAGGGGATTGTACCGGGAGTGTCGCCTCTTGCTCTTCATATCAAGATCATCAGTGGTCAGAATTTCCCAAAGCCAAAAGGAGCTTGTGCCAAAGGGGATGTCATAGATCCCTATGTTTGTATAGAGATACACGGAATACCAGCTGACTGTGCAGAACAAAGAACTAAAACTGTACAACAAAACAGCGATAATCCTATTTTTGATGAAACGTTTGAGTTTCAAGTAAACCTACCCGAACTGGCCATGATTCGCTTCGTTGTTCTGGATGATGACTACATCGGGGACGAGTTTATCGGGCAGTACACAATACCTTTTGAATGTTTGCAGCCTGGATATCGACACGTTCCCCTCCGCTCCTTTGTGGGGGACATCATGGAGCACGTGACCCTTTTTGTCCATATAGCAATAACCAATCGAAGTGGAGGAGGAAAGGCACAGAAGCGAAGCCTTTCAGTGAGAATGGGGAAGAAAGTTCGCGAATATACTATGCTCAGGAATATCGGTCTTAAAACCATAGATGACGTCTTTAAAATAGCAGTTCATCCTTTACGAGAAGCCATAGACATGAGGGAAAATATGCAGGTAGGAAAAAAAAAAAATCCCATACTCTTCTTTCCTGTTCCTACTTCTTATTCCTTTTACTAGTGAACATTGTGTTTTACTCGTGATCTGATTCATCAAAAATTATCAGAAGGGTTGGGTACCCCTGAACTAAGTTCAGTATTGCCTGTGATAAAGCATATATATATATATATATATATATATATATATACTTTTTAATTATGAATGCTGTGTGTTAAAATTGGGCTAAGACAGTTAATGGAGCATCAGTGTAGCAAAATGCTCTAGATCCATTGAATAACTAAATTGATTTATGGGACTGTATATACAAAACAATGAAAAGAATAGAACATAAAGTATTCTATGGATGTGTAATATAGTAACTAATATATATACTAAATACGAGCATATGCAGAATATTTGCAGATATGAATATGAGAGGGAATTTGAAATCATTAAAAATGTAAGGCCTATTAGATTAATTTTCATTATTTAAATGTATAACAATGATAATAAATTACTCCCCTCGATAGCAAACAAAACTAAACAAATAAAATTCAGCACTGACCTTGTTACAAACTGTTTTAAAAAGTTTATTTTATTAATTTTCAGTATTTTATATGTCTGTAATTTTGGGGTTACATTTTTATTCCTCCGTATTTATTCTTCTCTTAGAATGTGGTTAATATAATGAGTAAACATTCTGGACTTAACTCTATACCCATGTGATCTTGAGCAAATTATTTCATATTTCAGATCATCAGTTTTCTCCACATAAGTAGTGATATATCACAGGATTGTTATATATTATGAAAAGTGAGTATTCATAAATTGCTTAGTCTTGGCATGTAAAAATTTAATGTTATTTTTCTTCATTGTAATCAGAAATGGGTGAAAACTTTTGTATTTAATGCTACTTAATATATTTTTTCTAGGCTGATATTTCTGAGAAGCAATTAGATAATAAATATTTATAAGGCTCCTGCAGTGTGCATGGAGGTGTTAAGCAACAGCACTGCATGTATGAGAGTAAAAGAGGAGAAAAATAATCTTCAAGGGACTTAATTTTCTCCTTTATCTAGCATTTTATAATAATCTTCATTAAAAATTCCCTGCTTCCAAGATAGAAAGCAAGTTTGAAGAGGTTGAGTAATTTCTTAAATATTGCAGTTAATAAATAGCAATGTTGGGCTTTAAATCTAGAATTCCTTACTACTAAAACCCATAGCTCATTGGATTTTAGTGATGTAATGCTGAGCCCCAAACCCATGACTTGGTAAAAACTTTGTTTTTACATTATTTACAGAGTAATTCTTAGATAGGCTTAAAATTAATTTTAAATAGTGAAAAATAGTAAGAAATAGCATGGTATACAAATTGTATTTAAATACTTAGATTGTATTTAACTTGAGGTGGGATACCTTAGCCACTATTTTAAAAATAGACACCAAATATTAACACCTTTCACCTGACTCTTCCTGACTCAATTCTATGACTTGCCATATAAGAAATAGAGTTTGTATGTTTCTACATAATTCTTGAATATACTCATTATATATGTGTATATGTGTATACATATATATTACATTTTACTTGCAGGTTAAAAAGAATTAGTTATAGATAAAGTTGTTCAGATTGCACTGGTAATTTATGTCCTCTCAATGTAAAGTCTTTAGAGTTAATGATTTTTTGGAGTCTAATCACCAGAAGAATGAATACCATCATTGTTAATAAATCATGAGATACATAATAAGTTGGATACTGTTCACCGTTAATAAAACAAAATAGCCTATTTCAAAATAGCCTATAGAGAAGCTGAACAAAGGGTCAGGAAAAAGACAGAACTTGCAACCTGACCATAGACCTGAGATATACAGCAGAGGAGGGAGAGAGAGAGGGGTCAAAACAAGGGAGGAAGAACATGAGGGACTGTGGTGATGGATCGTGGGTGCTATGGTGGTGGAAGAACTACGGGGTCTACACCTGAGAGGAGAAATCAAATACTATTCCAAAATTATCAGCAATGAAAGAAAATAAATTAACTAATTAAATAAGAAAAGAGCCTATTTCAAATAAAATTTTTAAAAACCTGCAACATGGACAAATGTAGCTCTATGTGAAATGTGCGTTAGTATGTTTGTTTGTGAGGTGCCCGTCTGATGGGATGGCAAAGAAATACCATTTCCGGTTAGCCAAGTGGATTGTGGTGAGTAAAGCTTCTACCTTGAGAGCAAGAGTCCATAGAAGATGCACTCACGTATAGTCAGTGACATGATTCTTGGGATCATCACGATGCAAATCAAATCAGATTTTCATGCAGAGTCAGTGTGAATTTGTGTGATTATTACGGGTCTCTGCTTTAAAAAGCATAGCGTAGCCTTGGGTCTCAGTCTACTTTGTGACATGCTTGTGGCAGTTGCTAAAAATTGAGAAAGATGAAGTAACAGTGAATTAGCCCTCTGTGTTACCACTGTGCATGTCACAGCACTTGTGATGGGTTATAATTCACTTTGCTACAAAGTATGTCCTTAAAGGTATAATTTTAATGAAGATACTTTTGTGTAAACCTGGAAGTGCTGGGGTGGGAAGTGATGTGCCATGTGGGCAAAGTGTAATTCATGATTTCTTCCCCACAGAATGCGATAGTGTCTATTAAGGAACTGTGTGGACTTCCTCCAATTGCCAGCCTGAAGCAGTGCCTGCTGACCCTGTCCTCTCGGCTCATCACCAGCGACAATACTCCCTCAGTCTCTCTTGTGATGAAAGACAACTTTCCTTATCTGGAGCCTCTGGGGGCAATTCCAGATGTGCAGAAAAAGATGCTGGCTGCTTATGATTTGGTAGGAAATTGTGACTCTGTGTGTATGTGTATTTATTTGTGCGTGTGTGTAATCATATGTAGAACTCTAATGAATTACAAAGAGTGTTACTTGATACCTGAATTGGGAGTGGCAGACAGTGCCAGCTAACTCTGCTTCTCCTAAGCCCCAATGGGAAATTCTTAGAGAGTGCTTTGAACCCAGAGTTCTACAGAGAGCAAATAGACAATCTCTGCTTCAGCAAGAATGAATTAAATCTTCAAAATTATATACAACTTCTCATCATTTAAATGTCTTTGCCAGCAATATAACCATTTAATTGCATACATACAGGAAGTAGACTTATGATGGTACAGACAAACTTTCTCTGGAATTTAATTTCTAAGCTAATACAGTTATCTTTTTTTTTTCCAATATATAATGCTACAAATTAAGTATGTCCTTAAGGGTATAATTTTAATGAATATACTTTTGTGTAAATCTAGAAGTGCTGGGGGTGGAAGTGATGTGCCATGTGGGCAAAGTGTAATTCCATGATTTCTGTAGCTATTAAATATTATATATTTATGTATAGTACCATAACTATTTTTGCATCTCCTAATCCATTGAAAAATTAAGGAACAAATGACAGACCAGTGATATTTGCAACGTATATGCCCGGTAAAGTGTAAATATCCTTCAAATAGAAAAAACAGTAAGAACTATATGGAGGAAAAATATATTAAGTAGAATTAAATTCAGCTTTACAAAATAAATAATGGAATGCTAATCAGGGCTTAAAATTATAAGACTTTATTTTTTCACACAAAAATCTAGAGACTAAAGAAAAAAAAATCTGGAGACTAGGCACCCAGGGTGGCACTTTTACAAAGTTCCATGTAACTTTCTACTCCACCATCCCTAGAATTTGGCCCTTATCCTCATGGTGCAGAATGACTGCTGAAGTACCAACCATAAATGTCATCAAATGCTCATTTAAAAAATTAGTACCTCTGATAAAGAATTTAAGGAAATGGATACTCTCATCCATCTACCTCTAGTGGAAAAATAAGTTGGTATAGATTTTGGGGGGAAAAATTTGGTAGTATAATTTAAAATATTCATCCCATTTGATTTATATATATATATTTTTTCTAAGGATTTATTTCAGTCAATAGTGATACACACACACACACGTTTATATTTGTTTAATAATGTCCACATGGAGAAAATGAGTTAAATAAAATAAACCATATTATAGAATCCTTTGAAGTCACAAAAATCTTATGTTAGAATATTTATGCTATGGAAAATAGCTCATACTATATTTTTTTAGAACTCTAGTCAAAAAATAGAATTTAAATTGTATTTATATGTGGACACATCTAAACTGCTATCAAGATATTGATAATGATTTTTTAAAATATTTTTTAAAATATCAAGAAAAGTATATCTTTTTTTGTTTATGCTTTTCTGTATTTTTTTCTGTATTTGTCAATTTCTTTGAACCCAATGAATTTTTGTAATTGAATACAAATAAATGTTAAGGAAGGAGAAGAATATTTTATTATTAAAAATTGACTAGAAGAAAGACATTTGAGGTAAATATCCTACAATTGAAAAAGACAAAAATCCCAGAGTGTATTCTACTTAAAATGACATACCTCTTATAAATTATACTTCATGGTTGCTGAGGGAAAAGTTTGCATATTACCTATATCTCATTTTTCACGAAATCAATTTTTCCATCATAAAAGTAGGGACTGAAAGCTATTCAGTGAATAGGGATAATTGCCATTTAAGAGGTGAAATTAGGGTACTAGTTTCCATAGAGACAGACAGTAGAAATCATTTATTCCTCCAATTCCCTTTAAGCTAAGAAAGAAAAATCATTCCCTGAGAGGGGAGCCTGGTCCCCTGGAGCTGGACCTGTAACAAGCAGAAAAGCACCTGGACTATGATTGGCCAGTTTCCATTTTCACATCCCCAAGTGTCTGATAGTGTTTTGTTTTTCTCAGTTTTAGCTGCTGGAGCCAAATCTGACCATTGACTTTTCTTTTTTTTTTTTTTTAAATGCAATTTGTAATTGTAGGCCTGGAGTGATTTTCCAAAGCTTTACGTAAAAGGCTACATTGGAAAGCAGAAATACTTGTAACAATGTCTTCATTTATAGTTTCTTATGGAAACGAATTTTCATTTTGGTAGGGAATTGCATATAACTACCCCTATACCAAATTTTAAACTCAATGGACTGTGTGAGTGATGGAAAACACTACTGGAAACTTTGTTGGTTCTTTTTTTAGGGAGTGAAGAGGGTAGGGATAAATATATGTGATGGTATCTTGGCCATGAACATAAAAATGCCATTTTTACTTTCCAGGATTTGTGTTGTATTAGCTGACACTTTAATGCTCTTGGCATATTAGTGTTTATATTTATTTCAAAGAGATCTCCTAAAATACTCTGCTGGCCCAGAGTGCTCATATAAATATGATCATGTCACTTTCTTTCTTTCTTTATTTTTGCTTAAAATCCTATTTAAAATAAAATTGAAACTCCTTATCCTGGACCCATTGATGTTCTGCCTTTTTCCTTTCTACTATAGTCTTTTCATGATATGGACAATGTTTTTGAAATCCATCTCTAGCCTCAGTCTTAATGCTTGAGCCGTGTTTCTGCACTTGATTACAGGGCAACGTTTGGGGTTTGCAAGAATAACATAAATTTAGTAAGTTAAAAATGGGTTTATCTTTTATTTCTGAGGTACTTATGTACCCTTTCCTAACCATTACAAAAGATACCACCATGCCAATGGTTCTCAATTTCTCCAAATCGTTTCAAGTGCTCTGTCTTCATACTAACTCCGATGAGATCTTTTTTCTTTCTATTCAGTATCAATGAGATCCATTGCTTTTTTCTTCATGATCATTCTTGGATGTATCCATTTCTTTACATTAAGTCAGCCAAGATTCTCTCACCAGGCTCTCTTCTTCTGCCTGAAATTTTTCAATAGGTCCTAAAGTCCTCTACCTCTTCTTTACCTTTCCCTATTTCAATGATTGGAATAATCATCTTTAAATGCTAGTGATTTTTAGCTAGTTTTGCAAAGCCTTCACCCATCAGTGTTGCCTGTTTTGAAGACTTCATTTCCCACTTCCGTGTGTTTGAACCCTTTCCTTCAGTCAAGCTGATTTATTTGCTTTTTCTTTTCATTCTTCATCCTTTGTATTTCTCAATTCTGCACCATCTGCCTTCCTACCTTTAATTCCCTCTCCGTCAAGCTGAGTCCAGCTTTTTGTCCTAACATCTCACAAAACTGACCTTGTTAAGAAAAGATGCACTTATTTACTTTATTCAGGGCATTCAATACATTACCATGTATAAAGAACTTTAGTGGATTCTGTACAGTACAGAGATAAATGAACAAAGGCAGATATCTGCACAAATAATTATATAAAACACAACAACTCTTTTATTCAAGAGAAATATAAGTAAATGCAATGAGAGCACATATACCTGTCACTTGTGAAACAACACATTTTCTTTTGCTGAATTATTTTGTGTCTGTCTTTAAGCTTTTGATTAGTCAATTAAACAGACACATTTTGGATACCTGTTACTGTATGAGGAACTGGGGGAAGAAATGATATGAAGCAAACTTTCTGTCTAGAAGAATGGGACGCGCTGTAATGAACACAGAACTTAGACATAAGAGGGGAAGGAGCAGAGACACATAGGAGTCAAAGAATGGACCACTAATCTTTTATGTCCTGAACTAGTTGGAGTCTGAGGACCCCGAGTCCTCTTCACAGTGACTTGCAATAATACATCCCTACCTCATTCCCACTGTGCTCAGCACAATCTTATTTGCAACTAATTTTATTTATTTATTTATTTTTAAAGGTTTATTTATTTATGCATACAAGAGCTGGGGTACAGGCCAGAGATGCGGTGGTGAGAGGATTCACCAGAGACAGAGTGGGGAACAGAACAGGCAGACTGAGTGAAATACACTGCTGAGGGGAGCCCTGGGTGAAACAGGAAAGGTCCGCTGCACCATGTGGGTTGCTCCTTGGCTGGCCGGGGATTGAACTCGTGCTGCAGAGGCTGCAAAATGCTTCATAGTGCTGTGTTTAACCCCTTGCACCACCAGGGAGGCCCTGCAACTAATTTTAAAAGAAAAATATTATCTAACCTGTATATATATATTTTTTTCTTTAAATAGTTGAATTTTTATGTTTTCAATATCCTCTCCTGTCTAGTTTTTCAAGTACATTAAACTTTTGGGGTAATTAGTGTTTTGATTATAGGATTTAGAGGTGGAAAAGTTACTGGTGATTGCAACTGTAAAAATAAACCCAAAGTGCTCTCTGAAGGTGACTTCTGTGCTGAATTATTTAACATTAACATAAAAGTTAAAAGTTTACTATAGCAAGAGTAACAGATTTTTCTGAAGATTAAAAATCAAAACAATCTGGAGAACATGAGTCAAGGGTTATTTAATCTTTTACTAAGTCAGTTAAGGGTGTGATTTGGAGAACAGTTGATTGCATTAGCATGAGCAGGATTCTTGCAAGGGAAATAATAGGCTGGCAGGTATCACAATTAAGTCAAGTGCAAATGGTTGGATTAACTACACTTTCTAATGTTAGTGTTATTACCATCCCAGGATGAGAGAAAGTTGTAGGTATGTGCACAGTCCCCCACTGTAGTTTTATTGAAATAGTTTGATGTCAGAATTAGGTAAGTCAAAAATACTTTCCTTCCATCATTCACTCTCATTGTGAAGTATGTGTGAAACTGTACATTAGTGTACATTTCAAAAAGTAGTGGCTTGTATAATAATGGAACCCCTGCTGGCATGTGCCCCACCAGACAGGTTATTTAGAAAAAAGGTGTTGTGCATTAGTACTTACGCGTGCAGCAATGTCTTCTGATTTATTTTCTGTATAATGAGGGGATTAATTAGCATCCTGAGGGTTGAAATTTCTACTCATACGGAGTTCTCAAGGACAGTGGGTGTCAGAGATAGGTCAGTAAGC